CATCCCCTTCGCCGTAAATTATTTAGTAAATAATTTTTTTTTAATTAATATTTTGATGTGCGTACCTTATTCAGAATTTCTATAGTTTCTTAGTTATTTGACATGTTTTTATTAAGGATAATAATTAATAGTCCTTAAAAATGATTTTACAAAAATATAAAATGTTAGAATTAGTATTAATTATTATAAGTTTGGGCCATTTTTACAAAATTATCAACGTTGATGAATTAATATATTAATGACTGAAATGTTCAAATCATCATATCCCCATATACAGGTGCGTGCGCAGGGGGGGAGGCGATGATGATGAAGGATTTATTCCCCCGTGGGCTTTTTTTTTTTAGTCTTCAGACATGAGTGAAATTTGGATCTCTAGTTCATCAAAATAATGTGTAGTTAATGAACAAACATCGAGATATTCCATTGTCYACTGAATAATTAATTAACGAATTTTACTGTAAAAGCCAGAYGGATGAATTCCGAAAATTTTGAAAAACTATGCATGKGATAATTTGCAAGGGGGTTCTCATAAAATGGATTTTAATAAAAAAAAAAATGGTTTATTAAGCATTTTGAACGTTCTTTAAAAAATAAATAAATAATAATATGAAGAACGACAAGTGAAGTTCGTTCACAATATTCCCATTATACGTTGTGAAAAAATAGAAAACTTAACCATAACATTTAACCGTGTAAGATGAAAATATATTTTTGGTAACTCAAAATTTTATTTTAGACTCTAAGCTAAGCGTTGGTCATACAATGATGTGATATATTAAAAATTGTTGTAGGTATGTTTTACGGAATTTCGAATAGGTTTATCAAGCCTTGTCATAATTCTGAAATAGGTACACCACCTTTTTAACCATAAACGAATTACAACCATTTTTTTTTGTTTTTTATTAATTTATTTGTAAATTATTTTAAAATGTGTCTATTCTAATTTAAAACTAAATTATAAAGTTCTATATAATATTTAGGTTAACTCATTGTTTATTGTCTTATAACACATTACTTTACTTGAAATGACGTGAATGACGTGAATGATGTGAATGAGTGAATGACGTGTATAATATATTTTGTTTTGATAGTGTTCATATCAATACAACATAATTATATTATATTATTAAATCAGGGGTTCTTAACCGGTGATTCTGGAGGAATAACCAAAAATATGAATTAACTTAGAATCAGAATATATATTGTACATTTTTATTATATCGAGAACTCTATTTAATATACATAATATTTTATTATTTTCGTAAATTCGAGTGATTATTTATATTTCGGTTTAAAGTTTCCGACAACGTACAGTTTATAATCTAATAAACTGTTTTTCGCATTGAAAGAAATTTAAAAAACTAAATGAACAATTTGACGTAAATATTTTACTATATTAACTGTATTATTATTATTATTATTTTGGTACAATATTGTATGATTATATAAATTATGTATTATTCTACGTTGCAATAGTCATTTTTATATTTACATGATCTATAATTTATATAATAAACATTACCTCGGTAGTTGTTTTATTTCACGTGACACATAGAGAGAAAAATATATTTTTATTTGATATTTACACAATTTAACTTATAAGGTACGATATGGGTTTAACACCGCTTACTTATTATCACGAAATATTATCGGTTTTTATAAGTGTAATACACAATAATAATAATAAAAAAAAATTATAATTTTAATATCCATAATGATTAAAAAAACAGCGATGGTGTATATTATATTAACGAATATAAAATTATTATCCTTTGTTATTTATAATAATAAAATAATTAATAATTTGTATAAGATTATACATTTTTTTAAATAATTTATTTATAAGACGCGCATCGGTTCATATACTCCAATGTCAATAATAATAAAAATAATAATTATGTTTCACAAACAWTTTTTTTGAAAAAAGTGACAAATAACAAATCTAGATACGCGAYGTAATTCCCCCACTTAGTCAAACGCACAGATTCATAAAGGGTGAAACTGTGAAAGAAAAGGCCTTGTGCACCAGTTGTGGAACAGCACCTGCGCCATCAAATTCAAAATGTTTAATCAATTTGGTACCTAAATATATTTATAGTACAGACGATAAAAACAAATATCYRATCAACTTTGTGAGACTTCCAGCTAGGGCTTTCTCTYTYTCATTCCATCCTTCTCACTCTTTTTTCATCATCTATTTCTATAATAATTATCAGTCTAGGGCCCGGATTTATATACTCTGAAAACCTCAGAAATATGCACTTTAAAATATGCATTTATGCTCTTATTTGGTAGGAATATACTCTATAAAATAAAAAAATATGCAAAGTAATCGATCAAAAATCGTCGTTGTTTTCATTTTTTTTTTATATGTTCACAAAAAATCATATTATATTTATATATGATTCATTTTTGGTATTTTAAATATAGAATGAAAATTACGCGCACTCCGATCAAGAAAAACACAAGAAACAAACACGACTAATGTATATGATTCACGAAAACCTACTCAACAACAAATTAATTCTTGTCCCRACAGGTCTAAGTCGAGATAAGAAAACAAAATCGTCAATTACACGGGCTATTAAAACGTTATTTTAATTAATATAAACAAAATATTATATGTAATTTAAAAATCGTATGCAATAAAAAATGGTAAAATACAGAAATATGCAGTAGGTATACATGTCGAAAAAGACGAAAAATATAGAAAATAAATTTTTGTATTTCGAATCTAATGAATATATWSTTAAAACTTGTAGCTTAATATTACCTAGCTATTTTTTGGATTGTTTAGAAAAAACATGCAAAAATGCATAGAAATCCGGGCCCTAAATAAAAAAAAAATCTAGAATACCATAATAATATAGTAACACTGCACCGACGCCAAATGTGGACGAAAGAAAAACCCTCCGCGTGCATCTGCAGTTATTGAACAGCACCCATCATCAAACCC